GGTAGAGTCCATTATCTGTAACGCTTTCATTTTTTAGAAAGATACTGTATTTGTGGGCTTCTGAACTAATTAAAAATGAATAATAAAAATGAAAAGAAATCTAATTCAAGTCATCAATAAAGCTGTTTTAAAAAGAAAATAGCCTTAAGTTCATCTTTAAAAATATTCCCTCATTGCCCTAGCCCGGTGGTTGGCAAACTGCGGCCACATGCGGCTCTTTCGCCCCTTGAGTGTGGCTCTTCCTAAGCCTTAGGAGTACCCTAATTAAGTTAATAACAATGTACCTACCTATATAGTTTAAGTTTAAAAAATTTGGCTCTCAAAAGAAATTTCAATTGTACTGTTGATATTTGGCTCTGTTGACTAATGAGTTTGCCGACCACTGCCCCAGACTGAAGGGTCTCGGGTTCAATTCTGGTCAAGGGTACATGTCCCAGTTGTGGACTCGATCCCCAGTTCGGGATGTGCAGGAGACAGCCAATCAATAGTTCTCTCTCATCATTGATGTTTCTATCTCTCTCTCCCTCTTTAAAATCAATAAAATATATTTAAAAACAAAAAAAAGAGAGACAGGGAAATATAGAAACTACTAACACTGACTATAATAAGAAAAAAGGAAAGAAATAAGGAAAGAAAAACAATCTGGAAAGGCAAGAACATCAGAAGTAGAGAAATATGGAGGAGAGGAAGGAGCCCCAGAGACAAGAAGGGGAGCTGAGAGGGAGAGGGGTCCTGGTGAACAGAAGTGAGGGCAACAAAGGGGGAGGCACTTCAGACAGAGAGAGTGGTTCAAGGAGAAGAATTGAGGGATTGAGTGCAGGGACAGAAAGAGGGTTTTGGGATGACGGAGCAGAGGGAGAAGCAGCACTGTGTCAGCCAGCTGTGGGTAACAGGACAGATTATAACAGGGGAAGGAGAGAGAACACAGGTGTGGGGACGGAAAGAGAACTATATCAACAGATATTGGAGAAAAAGCAAACATAGCCTATGACATAGGACACATCTTTTACCTGAGAAGCAGCCATTTGGTCCTGGTCCTGATCGGGGTCGGGATGTTTCCTCAGGTGACACTATGTTGAGGAGTCACAGAATGTGCTTTCAAAGGCGTCCCCACAGCCTGTTAATCAGCTCACCTCCACTCACAGTCAGAAGGATCCGGAAAAGGGGGAAAGGTCACCCCCTCCAGTCCTTTGTCACAGGAGAGAGTCAGGAACAGTGAGCTCCTACATGGAGACCAAACCGTGAGATGTTTCATTCTATCTTCATGTGTTTGTCTTTCAAAAGATTTCCACAAACTGCTATAACAATGAGAGCATGTTCTGCTCTGCTGAACCCCAAACACAACAAAACACCTTTTTGTTCCCTTGAAAAAGCCTGCCCTGGGACCTATGATATAGCATCTTTAACTAGTTCCCTCCTGGGGCCTGCGCGACTCCCCCAGAGCTGTTTTCAGTAGCGCTGGGTATCAGACATCAGACCCAGCACCCCTGAGACCTCTGGGTAGTGGGAGGGGGTGAAGCAGGAAGTTGTACACCTGCAGGTTTCCCAGGCAGATTTCCTTCCTCTTGTCCCAGGAAATTACGGAGAATAGATCTTCATGCTAAAGCCTTTGGGGAAAGTTAGCTACTGAAATATGTTCATCAAATGAGTTCACCATGAATAGATGGGCTCTGTGGGAACCAAGTTCCAGTTCAATCCAGTCCATCCTTCAACAGTTTCAGAGAATGGACAAGAGGGACTTAGGGGAATAGTTCCTTTGTGGCTCATAGACACTAAATCCACAAATCACAAAAAGGGAAGGAAAGAGGAGCTAAACATTAGACCAATAAACAGAATGAGACTCTGACTGTTAAGATCATTGACATCCTTACTAAGTGCACACTGAGATCACCTCAAATTACTGACTAAGTACCAATGGAAGTTTCCACATATGATAAACAGTAGAAAGGATGCAGGGCTCAGAATATGAACAACACACAATATACTTCAAACCATGACTTCTAGGTTTAAAGCTTTAAAAAGGGAGAGACTGCCTTATATTAACAAAAGAATGATAAGAGCTGCTTGTGAGATGTCAACAATGGTAATTTCAGAAGTTAACGACTATTTACATGAATTAAATATCAGAGATACAAAATGCAAATCCATGGGAGAGAAAAAAAGATCCAGTGCTTCTAATATTCCTTCATAAAACATCAGACTCAGTCATCTCTTTTCCCAGGTCACCTCCTTCTAGCATTCCCAGGAAATAAAAAGGGGCCCATAGGAACAAATCAGTCTCTCCCTCTGTGTGATTAAGGTTGCAAAGGGAAGCAAATAATTATAAAATATTCATAAGCTTTATAAATTGGAGATCTGAAATTCTTATTCAAATCAGTTTAAACAATTCACTTGTTAAATTAAACATATAAGCCACAAGCCGATATATCACAACCTAACCATCCACATCCCATCAGCTCACCACTCACCCAGATCAGGGTTCCCCTCCTTCCCACTACTATGTATTCCTATCTATGGATCAGTTTCTGTCTCCCTGTTCCCTTTCTCTCCAATGTTGTCTTTTCCTATGTTTTTTGTTTTTGTTTTAATATATATTTTATTGATTTCAGAGAGGAAGGGAGAGGGAGCGATAGAAACACCAATGATGAGAGAGACTCCTTGATTGGCTGCTTCCTGCAAGCCCCCCAGTGGGGACTAAGCCTAAAAACAAGACCAGGAATGGAACTGTCACCTCCTGGTTCATAGGGCCACCTTCCACCACCGAACCATGCTGATTGGACTTTTCCTATGTTCTGCCTCCCTCTCCCCTGCTCTTTCCCCCCTTTTCTCTATTTCTGTCCCTATTCCTGCACCATGGAACTCCTGAAACCTATTTCACCTTCAGTTGTTCTTTCTCCTTGGTCTTTCTGATTGCTCCCATCTATGTACACACCTGGCTCTTTCTCTTCTCACTTCTGTGTCCCCTCTGCTGCCTGTCACAATCTGTTCTGTTACCTACAGCTGGATGAATCAGTGCTGCTTCTCCCTCTCCTCTGTCATCCCTACAATAAAAAAAAAAACATAAAGAAACCTCATGAATATTCACAGCAGTTTCTGTAACTGAGAAGAATAATAAAGACAGGTTAAGCAAGTAATGAAAAAACACCTCAAATAATGTTAACATTGTATGTAGAATCAGACACACCTATGAGAACTATCCTATCTACTATCTAATAATAGACAAACATGGTAATTGACCATGCCTTCGCTACGTCTCCCATTGGCTAATCAGCGTGATATGCAAATTAACTGCCAAAAAAGATGGCAGCTAATTTGGTTACTGCAGGCAGGGCGGGACAGCGCCATCCCACCTGCCCTGCCGCCATCCGGGCCTGCTATCTGCGACCCGGAGCGGCAGGCATCCCATGTGCGACCCAACCCTAGGGCGGCCAGGAGGGGCAGCAGCGATCAGCCAGCCTGCCCAGGCGTCCCGTATGCGATCCGACCCGGGGTGGCCTGGTGGGGCAGCAGCGATTGGCTGGACCGCCCGGGCGTCCCGTGTGTGACCCGACCCAGGGCGGGACAGCGTGGCTCCTCTGTCACCCCAGCTTCCTCATCATAGCTCCCTAGGGGGCCTAAGCCTTTAGTTGGACATCCCCCGAGGACTCCCTGGCTGCCAGAAGGATGTCTGAATGCAAGCTTTGGACTGATCCCCCGGGGAGTGGGCCTAAGTCAACTGGTGGACATCCCCCAAAGGGTCCTGGAATGCAAATGGGTGCAGGCTGGGCTGAGGGACACCCCCCCCACCGAGTGCACAAATTTTTCTGCACTAGGCCTCTAGTCTACAATAATAAAAGCGTAATATGCAAATTGACCCAAGGAACAAACAGCAGAATGAACATCTGGATGACCATGCTATGAAATGCTCGGGCGCCAGGCCAGCCAAGGCAGGTGAGATGTGATTGGTTGGGGGCCCAGCTATCGCCCCATGAAAATCCTGCAGAGGGAGGCCCAGGCCACCTATTGGCTGGCTGGGGACGGTGGACGGGGCCTCCCTCTGCAGGGACGGGGGCATCATGGAGCCCTGGTCAGGTGGCCAATGCCTACCTCTTTAGGGCAATCGATCTTGGGGCTCCTGGACTGTAAGAGGGCGTAGGCCAGGCTGAGAAACACCTCTCACCCCGCCCCCCTCAGTGGAAGAATTTCGTGTACCGGGACTCTAGAGTATACTATTAAAAGAGATAGAAAACATGTCATGTCAATGAAATCAAGATTTTGTGATAGCATAAATTTCATGAATCTATTTATGAATGATACCCTTTGAGTATCATCTACACTAATAAAAGACAAAGATGCTAATTGACCGTACCTTTGCTACGCCCACCAGCCAATCAGAGCGCCTATATGCAAATTAACCCAACCAAGATGGCAGCCAGCAGCCATGGAGCTGGAGCAAGCAGGAGGCTTGGTTGCCCCGGCGATGGAGGAAGCCAAGCTTCCCACCTGCCCTGGCTGTGGCCTCCGCAAAAGGCAACAAAGTTTCAATTTATAGAAGCTAAAGAAATCCCAGATACCTGCTTCCAGCCAGCCTCCACTGGGAGCTTGGGTGGCTGGGGGCTATGGCCACCCTGCAAACAGCCATCAGCCCCTCACACAGGCTGGCCAGACACCCCAGGGGAACCGCCTCCCTGAAGCGGGTGTGGCCAGCCTGAAAATGGCCCTCAGGCCCTCACCCAGGCTGGCCAGGCACCCCAGCGGGGACCCCTCTCCCTGAGAGAGGGTGTGCCCAGTCTGAAAACAGCCCTC